ATCAGGAGCTGGTCAGAGATCTGATCAGCATCCACAACGCAGAAAATTGGCTTGGCATGGATGGAGATTCGGAGATGAGTCTGTTCAAGCCAAAATTAGACATAGAGGAACGCGTGTCGTTGAGCAACGACAAGGATGGATCCTCTCCATCCTCGACGCCTGGCCTAGGCGAGGAGGAACAGCAACAACAACAGGAACAATCGCTGAAGGTGACGGTAGGCACGCAGACTGGATCAGAGCCGCCAGATTCTAGTTTCACGAACGACAAAATGACGGTAGATCCGCACTGCTACGAGTGCAAAGTGAAGTACAGAGACCCGAAACCATCCGATTTGGTCATGTACCTGCACGCGTGGCGCTACTGCGGTCCAGGCTGGGAATATGAGACTCCACTTCCGGCTTGGGCAGCCAGCGACTGGACCGAAGAAGACCGATAGTTCCGGTCCACGAAGCATCGAAACGAGCTGTCATCACCCTTCGTATCCCTTTTTGATATCCTTACCCCGTGCCTTCCATCCGCCAGCGAGCGATCTCGACCATCGTACATGTACCCATCCCTGTGACCAGGTCGCTGGACTCGCGAACAAACGAGAGACCTCTCGGTTGGTCCTCCGAGATTGGTGTCGCGTCTGGTCTGCGCTGATATTCGAGGCCCTTCGCGCTGGCAATATCGCGGTGAATCTGTCGGGATCGTTTCCAGGATGATTCTCAACGAATGACAGGTTCACCCGTGATATTCCGAACGTCGTAGATCATAAACGAGGAAGATTGATGGATGGCGAACTATGAGCGTCACAGCGTTAATTGGCTCGAGACGAAGCGAAAGTTTGCGTGAGACAGCCTGCAGGTGTTCCGACGAATCTTCGAGGAACGTTTCAGGCCGTCCTTGATCCCTGACGCGTTCATCCGTTGTTGCGACGCGCGATCGATCTAGAACAGAGCTGCACAGGGTAGAGTGCTGTTCGCCAACTCCTTTTACACCGCGATTTACTCGCTATTGATATTGGAGAGTCGATACGAAGCGACGGTCGTACATCGTACAAGATTATCTTTTTTATAATTTTACAACTTTACGTTAAAGAGGATAATCGAACGATTTATAGTTCGTGAAATTTGCTTATAGAATTTCATTCGTTTCGTTATCAAACTTATTCCACGAGATACGTGACATCACTGCCCATAATTTTGTCCTCCTAAGAACCATTACACAATTCTCATTTAGAATAACGTAGCATCGATTAGAATTCGCGTGATTCGATCTGAATCGGTGGTATTGTGGTTATCCCATGGGGAAGCGTAGATTCTCGTCCAGGATGTACCGATGAATAGCGTAAAAAGATCGAAGCATCAACGTGGCACGGGGCGACGAAACGATCCTGATCGGTTCTGTAAACGGGTCGGTCGAACAGTCACTGCCACTGGTGCGCGCACGAGAGAAGATTGATGCAACTGTCAACCGCGAAAGCCCGAATGGATCGTTATCGTTCGTGTCCTTGATTTATGATGCAGATAGGAACAAGGAAAGCCGACGGTCTTTTCTATTACTCGGGTCCCCTGCGACTGGGAATCTTTATGCTTCTGATCTCGAAGGAAAGCACGCTCGAAACCCAGTCCCTTTTATGGATCTTCTTCCAGCGTACGAAGAGGGTTCGTTCTTTGTTTATTTTTTTCTTACTTTCTATTGATAGAATATGCAAGATCGAAATAGTTCCTTCGAAATATCATGGGCAATTAGTTAACGCCATTTAACGAAGATGATTGCTATTTTGTGTTTCCTTTTTCCCTTTTATCAAAGGGAATTAAATAATATTTATCAGTTATGTAACAAATGCTTCGTTCTATCAATAGAGAGATATAACGAAACTTTGAAATGTAATATGGAAACTGTATTACAGAGTAGCGCAAACCCCTTAACGCCAAGCGATCTACCCTCATTCCCTTAATTAGAAACGCCTGCAGTCACCTTTCCGTAACTATGGCAAACGATCTTCTGTGTATTTCTTAATCAGATTATCTAAACGTAGAATAGCTACAGTAACGTCATTCCCTGATCCAAGCTACCCAGAAGCCCGTAGATCAGCAAAATTCAATTCTACGACTAATAACATCCATTCTACCATACTTTCAACGACGTCTTACCTTTAACAACCGTCCCAGAAATCTCTACAATCACCATCCATCCACTTGTTCTTTCACAAACGCTCATGACGCAAACTAGAATAAAAAAGACAAGATCGTGACCGAAAATTGTTTAATCCTTTAACGATATAGCTTGAGATACTTGGGTCTTTTCATCTGTGGTCTTCGAATGTTATCAAATAACGTTATTAATATTTATTTCTTATAAAAGGTTAAAAGTACGTATTTTTATATGCAATACCAGAAACGCAAAAAATTCGAAGGCTAAAGGGATAATTGTTCTTTAAATCGTTGGTTCTGAATTTACTATTCTGTTGCTACTGTGAAAAGGTCAAGAATGTTTAAGAATCATCATCGACCAGCGTTCATCCTCGAGAACCGCGCAGACAAGGGGCTGACGTAGGAAACTGCAATAGAGACGCGTCTATTTTTATGGCTGATTATATATACAGGAAACTAAATAGTGGCGCAGGTCCAGCGGCAGAGGTCTCCAACAATAAGCGTGATCTTGCCAGGAGGATATAGCCAACGATCATGCCAAAGAGCGCGAGCGCGTCCGGCGAACGAGAGCGAGTGTATCGGAGATGGAGTGAAAAATAATAAATGTATGTGTGTGTATATGTATGAGAGAGGGAAAGAGAGAGCTTCTTTCAAGCCATATCGTGTACGTGTACCTTGTTCCCGCGCGTCGAATAAGACCGCGTCCAAGTGGCAGGACTTGCAACAAGTACAATCGAGCGAGTGAAATAACGAGATTAACGTCGTACATTATTTTGCTACGAGTCACGTTCGTCTCCTTTAGCGGGGCTATACATAAGCTTTTATCGCGTGCTCGGGATATCTGGAAGAGGTGATGAGAATGGTAAACCTTTCGGATCTTTTAATTGTTTGAAGGAATTATATTCTGGGCCAAAGATGAAGCTTGTTGTCATTTGATTGTATCACATATCCTTTTACATCCCGCTGTATCATTTCTATTCATTTTGATTCTTCTGACAGAAGATCGTACGAACCCTTTCGCTGAAGCTTCGATCGATTCTTTTCATTCGAATTTTATATCATTTGGTAATCTGTCTTAGTATGGCTCATTGAATAATACACGGAGAATGGATAGTTTCAAACGGATTTTGATTCAGTGTGACTCAGTTTCGTAAATTGCGTTCTTTTGGAGAAGTTTTAGAGGAAGTTGGAAGAAAGTGGATCCTAACGATAAAAGACGTGCTCAAGAGAACACGGTTTACATAAACGCCAACAACGTTAAAGTTGAAATCGCAAGAAGGGAACAAAAACCATCTTTTATACGAAAGCTTTGTAATAATCGCGAGCTATTAAATAAATTATCGGACGAGAGAATGGAACAGGATGAGAAGACATGAAAAGACAAAAAGAAAACAGTTCTCGTTACCTCTCCGGATTCTTGTAAGCAACAGGCAAAACAGAGATCAGTGAACAGAGATTTTAGATAGATAGACGTAGGAAGGAGATAACGTAATAACGGACCTATCATAAAAGACAGTGTGTGCGCTTACTAACCCAACGGGATAGCTTGCGGCGAGAGACGAAATGAAAGAAAAAAAAATAATATAGCAAGCTATCCCGATATTGTAACAGCTAGCTTAATTTTATTTAAGTAAAAGAAAAAGAAGGGAAGAACTAACTCTCGAATATATATCGAATGAAAGAAAGACAAAGAGAAAAAAAGGAATAAAAGAAGAGAAAAGAGTAAGGACGAAAGGAGAAACTCCAAAAGACAGTCTCGACTTGGTAGCACAGAGACAAAAGAAGAAAAAGGGGAGAGAGAGAATGTGTGAGAGAACGAAAGAGAGAGAGAGAGAGAGAGAGAGACAGTGTGTGTGAGTGGTGTTGAAAGAAAGAGGGAGAGAGAGAGGGAATGAAAGAGAAAGACATCGGTCTGTAAATCGAGCGAACGCTTTTGTATGTATATACATATATATATATTGTATATTGTATACGCACATTGTACTGTAATCTGAACGACATTATTGTCTGTATCCATAGTCAGCGGAAACGTTAGAGCTAGAAAAACTTTTTTCTTGTATAATGAACGAATAAATGTAAAGTATCGTTCGGTATACACATCGTGTGCCAATGTACCCTTTATCTTCTTGTCGAACTTTGTTTCATCGTAGTCGTTCCATCTTCTTTCACACAGCTTCTTCACTTTATTCGATCCAAAAATGTACTTAATAGTATTGAATATTTTAAACATGATATTTTGCATTCTGGAAATATTCGATGTAAGAAAGAATAATGTAAACAATACATACTTTGACGCGATAAAAATGTTACATACTATTACTTGGAGGTTGAAATGTACAGGATGATTTAGTAACGGTGTTAGGTAACGGTGTTCCTCTGTCATTATTTTTGAATCATAATTAAAATTGTATTCCGTGAGTAAGGAATTTATTAAAAATTTAATAATCGGATCAACCTGTACATTTTGTTCAAATATACAGGAACGAACTGTCACATTATGTGCTATGATTTAGCGTTCGCTGTATCTCGGATTTTCAGTGAGAACAAATAAGATCGATGTTATTTCAAACAAGATTAGAAGCTGTTATTTTCTTGGATTCCGCTATCGTTGAAATAAAATCACAATTCTCTTTGAGTACCTTTTACTTTAGTTTTATTTTAATTTCCCGATATTCTTCAAATTATAAAGATATTGTAAAATATCGCGTTTCACGTTCAGTTTCCATTAGAGAACGAATACTTTCGGATCACGCGCTTTACCAAATTATTTTTCCTCTTATTACAGTATGTAAAAAATTATCGAATTACCTTGAAAAATTACGTTTCCTTCTATATTAATACAGACAAAGTACGTTCTTTCCATCTATTTTATTTACTAGATTACCGAAAGTTGAAGATGATTTTTATCGGTAAAATTATATAGGAAATTCAACAACACCGCATTTTGCAAAATGCGACTTATATATATACTGTAAATAAGTACAATATTTTACAGATATATATATTTGCTCTTTCTACAATCGACTGTTTTGCGGTGAATAAATATTGAAACGTTCAATAGTTTCTAGTTTCTCTACCTTTATTTTAATTGGACACTGCTTGCTTGCGCTCTTTAATACGTGCTTCTATTTCCGGCCTGAAATGTCTGATCAATCCCTGAACTGGCCACGCTGCACCATCCGCCAAAGCGCAAATAGTATGCATTTCAATCTGCTTGGTCAACTCCCATAGCATATCTATCTCGTGTATCTCCGCTTGTCCTTGGGCGAACCTAGACAGATATTCATTACATGATTTCCAATATATAATTTATTTCTTTTTTAGATAAAATAAAAAGAGCTAACAAATAGAACTATTTTTGTACCTTCTCATGATTTTATACATCCAACTTATTCCTTCACGGCACGGAGTGCACTGACCGCAAGATTCGTGCTTATAAAAACTGATAAGACGCGTAATAGCTTTAATAATATCAGTCTGTTTGTTCATCACGATTACAGCTGCGGTACCAAATGAGCTCTGCACTCTAACGAGATCATCGAAGTCTAATAACACTGTATCGCATACGCTGCAACATCATACGAGTAATTATAGCTGTTAACCCAATTTTGACCAATATGTGCTATAGACTCTTACTTCCAGTATTCAAATATATATAAGTACCTTTTGGGAATAACCGGAGTGGAAGATCCACCCGGAATCACACCTAACAGGTTATCCCATCCACCGATTACTCCACCAGCATGCCTTTCAATGAGTTCCTTCAGAGGAATGGACATCTCTTCTTCCACAGTGCATGGATTGTTCACGTGTCCCGAGATGTTAAATAATTTAGTTCCGTGATTACGTATACGACCGAATGACGCAAACCACGCTCCGCCTCGTCGGCATATAGTCTATATATTGAAATTTCTATTTTAGAATTAAGATTTTCCACGTGTGTGTGTATATTTCCTAATAGCGTTAAATATATGATAATTACATACAGGAGCAACAGCGACGGTTTCGACATTTGTGACAGTGGTAGGGCAACCAAATAATCCAACATCGGCTGGGAAAGGTGGCTTTAGCCTAGGCTTTCCCTGTTTTCCTTCGATAGATTCAATGAGAGCAGTTTCTTCTCCACAAATGTACGCTCCTGCTCCTCTTTGCACAAAAATGTCAAAATCATAGCCAGAGCCACAAGCATTCTTGCCAATCAGGCCTGCCTGATAAGCTTCTGCAATGGCGACTTGCATATTTGACGCTTCGTTATAAAATTCACCACGAATATATATGTAAGCTGCACAAGCTCCCATAGCACGGCCAGCAATTAAGCAACCTTCTACTAGCTTGTGTGGATCGTGGCGTAGAATTTCACGATCTTTGCAGGTGCCAGGCTCACCCTCGTCACCGTTAACTACCAGATATTTTGGTCTTCCATCAGAGGGCTTATTCATAAAGGACCATTTCATGCCAGATGGGAAACCTGCACCTCCACGGCCTCTGAGACCAGATACTTTAATCTCATTAATGATCCAGTCTGCACCTTTTTCTATAATTTCCTTGGTCTTATACCAATCTCCCCTTTTCAGAGCACCCTGTAATCTCCAATCATGTCTACCGTACAAATTTGTGAAGATACGATCCTGGTCAGCCAGGGGGCCACCCTTTTTCTAAGAAAAACGATAATAACACAAATCGTTCCATATTTACGTTATTTTAATATGACAAACACTAATTAAAGCGGGAATAAAATACACGCACCTTCCCTTCGGGCGCGGCATCGGCAAATGTTCTTTGCTGCTGGCTACACAACGGTGACCCAAGGAAACCTTAAAATCATAACCAAATTTTTCCATTACATAACCTCCTTTTAGTGACAACGTAAAACGTCAAAATTCTTCTTAAATATGAAAAGTATCGGAACATCGATGTTCCCTACATCGTGGTTGGCCTTGAATGACGTAAACGTCGTGAATATGGTTACGAATTAAACACAATAGCATCAAATCTTACCCAATTGTCTCCTTGGGAGTTGAATACAACGTACAATTGTGCCAGCCATCTTGCTGTTTGCGATCTCGCAGAAATTTGCGATATTGAGCTGTCTACTTAGAAGATCACAGTATAGCCATCTTGCAGCGCACTCAAGAAACAAACTAGTACAGGATTGAATACGTGTTCGTCACTGTTTTGTCGTCTAGTTGTCTGTTTTTATGAAAGACTTATCGTAACCGTGTTGAGCGTGCGTGCGTAAGTCGAGAGTAAGACTCGAGTCCCGTAACTGTCGTTCGCTACTTGTAAAAAAATTGGGAAACTCGACGGAAGTTCGGTTTTCTAGCCTAGTCATGATCCTTGGCTATCAATAGACACCTGTCTAGACGACAGTGACGAAAGCAAGAACGTTTGTCCTGGTGTAGTAATTGGAAACAATATGCCTTCCAGGAGAAATAATTGTGACCTGCTGGCCAGGGTGAATTTTCCGCTGTATACGTTGCAAATGTTGACGGGTAGGCATATCTTGGTCGGTGGTGGTGGAGGATCCTCGAAGACTGGGGTTGCTAATGGCTTTGTAAGAATCCCTTTTTTTTTTTAGTCATTCTTACATACATATAAAAAATGAGAGTAATTTCATAATTTGTTTAAATTGAATCATTTTTCATGAACAGGAAATATTTGAATTGTCTCACAATGGATGTCAGTTCGTTGCGGAAGAAGTGACCAGACATGAAACAGGTCCCAGTGTTGTTATGAATTGTACAACGTACAATGATCAAAAGAGGATATGGATTGCAGCTGGTCAAGAGAGTCACTGTCAGCTGTACGATGTGAGTAGTAAAGTGGTGAGCGTGAAGAATGGTGAGGTTGTCAAAGGAGCCAGCGGCAATTCTAAGGAAGGCATTAGACACAGAAAAAACATAGATAAAGTAGAAGAAACTGTTATGCCTGAAGAAAGGATAGAGGAAGTCAAGGATGACAATTCAAACATTAAGAGCAAGAAACTTCAATTGATAGTAAAGCCAGCAGATAGTGTACAAACAGATTTCAGGTAACTATATTTTTATAAAAGTGCGCAAAGTTTCCTAAAATAATTGCTCTAAATATGAAAAATTTCTACAGCAAGGAAGAACCACTTCAGAGGATCGTTAGAATAAATTCAAATGGAAAATTCATGGTCACTGGTGGCACGGATGGTCATATAAGGCTATGGAAATTTCCACAATTGCATAAACTACATGATCTAGATGCTCACACGAAAGAAATAGACGACATAGACTTCAGTCCAGACAGCACACTGATCGCAAGCATAGCAAAGGATGGCAAAGCATTTCTATGGAATGTGAGCAATGGTTCTAAATCCAAGGACTTAACTTGGTCACCCCCAAATGGATTGAAATATATGTATAAAAGGTGCAGGTTTAGGAAGCTGGAGGAGGACAAATCAAAAGCTCAACTTTTTATGCTCTCCAATGCAGTGGTTGGAAAGAATATTAGTTTTCTTCAAATGTGGGATGTGGAGTCTGGAAGTGTTGTCAAGATGGTACCATATAAAGAAACCCTGTCTGCTTTGGCAGTCTCGGATGATGGAAAGTTTGTGGCAGTTGGAACAATGTTCTCTGGTAGCGTGGATATATACATTGCATTCAGTTTGAGGAGAGCTTTGCACGTACCCGGTGCACATAGTATGTTTGTAACTGGCCTAGAATTCTTACCAACCAAGTTAGATGGTCCTACCATTGCTAGTAACACTGAAACTGCGGTTGTCAGCATTTCTGTGGATAACAAAATCTGTATACATAGCATACCGTTTAGATGTAAGTAATTAAATAATCTTTTTATTCGTCCTTATATCGTTTTGGTAATCTTAACGTTTGACAATCTTAACGTTTGACAATTTTTTCTGTTATAGACACACTACCATTCTGGTTCGTCATTATACTAATTGTCCTTAGTATTTGTGGAGCGTTCATCTTCTGTAGTTATCTCGGAATATGACCTGAGAGAATATACCTTTAATACCAAGTACTTTGTGTAGGGTTTTTTAATATCATACATCGAACTTTCACAGGTGTGTTTCTTTAGTTTATAAATGTTATTGATAGTACAGAAAGGAAGGTGTAATAATCTGTACGATTTTATGAACACGTGTGCACGATTTTTGTGACAATAGATATTACTACCTATAATTTGTTCGGTAGTAAATAATTCACGTGCGTGATTGTTCGAGCGTTTAATTAATGTTAAATTAATGTTAAAACAAATCGTTCGTTCAATTAATGTTAAAACAAATGAAGTGATGCTGCGATGAGTAACTACTCTACATTAGATAAATTCTTTGATAAACATAATTGTAAATAGATATCTCTAAATAAGTTTCTGTTTGGACACACAAATAGCTACCTTCTCTTCTCACATATTTCTTACACTTTAAGATCAATTTATACCATTTATTTTGGTACAGAAGGCTCAGCTCATTTTGACTTTTATTGCATTTATGTGAATTGTGTCTGTGCATTGCTCACGTGTAGAATGGAATATAGATGTCGAGTGTGAAATGTTATGTATACGCCATAGTATTAAAGTTTTAGTTTTATTCTATTCTTTGATCACTATGTTCGGATAAGAAACATCGTGATTGGTCCACTTTGAAATTTAGATTAAGCCAAACTGGTCACATATAAATAGTACGCATGCATCACATGAAATTTTATCAATTTTATAATGCATTTCATGGGAAACAGTAATATTCCATTTAAGGAAAACGTTGCCATAGAACAAGTACCGGGCAAATATACTTTGTTAAGTTGAAAATCAAACTTGTACGTTTTTACCTACCCTCTTCCGATTTTTATAAAAGATCCAAATTTGAATTTCTAAACTGAAATTTCAATTTTTATTGTTATTTAAATAAACAAATTGAGAAAGTTTAAATAAATATGAACACATAATTATACAAAAATAAAAGTCAGAAAATGTAAATAAACAAAGCAAATATGTAAACAAATGAGAAAAATCTGGAAGATAAATACAAGGTATTTTTATTAAGAAGCAAAAATAAAAAATTCCATTTCTGTTTGTCAGTTCAAAGAAAGTGCAAGGAATGTTTGCTTATTTAAGCGACGATTCAGGACTCGTGATCGAAAAGGAATGTTGTCCAAAATGGAAAGGTGCCCCCAGGGTTTTCCATGGGAAGGAGAAGGACGAGTCAGTAATGACATTTTACGACCTTAAAGCTGGCGCCTACCAATAACTCTCAAGGCTGTGGAGAACGTATCGTGTCGAATAACTAAATTTCCTTCCATTCGAAAGTTTTCGAAATTGACTCCTTCGTTTTTCACTTTTTTATTGTTTCCTTTTTTCATCGAATAGATTGGTTACCATGTGAAATGTTACGAAGAAGCGTTCGAAAAGAGAAAAATGCAACTAAATCATATCGTAGAGGAAATAAAATTTATGCTTCAATCTTTTTTATTCTTTATTTAAAATATAAGGTAAATAAATATTTTTTTATTTAAGATTATCAAGAATCAATTCTTGTATAATATTAAAAGCTTGTTTCAAGAAAACAAGAATGTAAATGATTAATTATCATAATTATGTTATTAAAAGTCGATGTTTTTGAAAATTCTGGGAATAGGTAGAAAAAATTTCGGTTTTATCCTTAATCGTGATACAACCAGGAAGGATTCTACATGTTCGACTTATTTATCACGAGCTTGCCAATTGCATCACGATTTCGAAATCACTTTATATATTCAACAGGTCTGGAAAAAAATTCGAAAAGTGCTCAGTTTCGTACAACGTTTATTGTGAAATACTTTAATAAAGATTCTAAGAATTACTTAATTACTCTCACGCGTCTCTTAAGCACTAACGTTAACCAAGTGTACAGTGTACACGGTTCGGCGCGCTGCGACGATACCGATCGATGGATCAATACGTACAACGCCCCGCAGAAGAAAGGGATAAGGATCGGAAGGGCAAGGATACGGTGGTTATGTACAAAGATGAATAAGTTCAATCGAAGAACTTGTTCCTCTATGCTACGGAAAAACAACCTCTTCGTTCTCTTTTCATTTCTTTCGATCACCATAATCGACCACAGAAACGTTTCGCGAACGTTTGCTAGGGGAACTCAGACCCACGATACTCTTCTGCCACGATAACACGAATGCAACTCAAGAATCTCACAAAAATGATAATTTAACAGCTATCCCACTTATAAAATTCCGTTCCAATAATATCACAATAAAAAGAAAAAACATCTCAACTCACGAAGAATTTCTAACTTATCTGCATATAATAAAATACATCAGAATCCTACTGCACTTGTTTCTCTTTTCAAAATTGAAATCAACCAGACAACGTCAAGTCGATTATGCTAAGAGATTTCTTATTTCCGTTCGCGACACGTTTTCCGCGCGACGGTTCGGCGCGTGTTCTTCAAGGAAAAGCCTTTTGATGCATTACTTTAGCGTGGTCTCTCTTAGGAACACGCGCCACACGATCTATAGATCTCTACCATGAAGTGCTCATTTGTTCGCGGTGAAACCGTCGCCGGTAGGATCGAGCAGCCACGGGTAATAATTCGGGCACTCCATGCAGGTGAACAGGCGAAGAGTTTCGCCAGGAAGTTCTCTGGTAGTCAAGGGACAGGCGTTAGGGAGAGAACAGTAGGGCTGGCCCTTCTCGTCGCAGGTTTCTTTCCAATCCTGGAAGTCCCTCAGTGCCGAGAGTTCCGTCGGATTTTGCATCCACTTGATTACCTGCAAGTGGTATGAGAAGGTATATAGTCAGACGAGATTCTAGGCAAATGTTGGCTGAAATAACTTGGCTAATAATGTCTTTCTCTCGGCTTGAAATAGAAAATTCGAAGTAGGAAGTTATTAATAATCGAATTGTTTAAAAAATATCATTTCGTTTTATAATTGATGTGAATCATAACTTTTGAGTTTTGCGAATGTCTATATGAAACATCGTTTATATGTACCGTTTACTATAGAAAGAGGATTAAAACAGTTTTTAAATTGTGATATTCTTCTCCATAAGACGTATAAATGATACAAATATAAATGGCAATGCTATTTTAGTTATCCGTTTAAAACCCGTTAGTTTGTATTCAAACAAACCCTAATTGAAGCAAATTGACTTATATGAACGCGAACTTGAATTCGAGTAGCTCGGCTAATCTGGGAAAGGATTTATGTATTACGAGTTTGTATTCGCTCGATTAGTGGTAAGTAGAACGAGAATGTATTTGGTCAGACGGAGCATGAAATTCATTTTTGACAAAAGTGACCTGTTTGCGGTGTTCATATTTTTCTGAGTTTCAGAGACATTTGTTATCACTTGGTTTAAGATCGTTAGCTTATTATCGAACCATTTGGTTGATTGTTTATATTTAATTCCATTCTTGAAATTGTCTCGAAATCTGATTTGACACCAACGTATTTAATCTAATGTTACTGTCATTTCATTTCTAATTTTCTTAGATATAATAAGGAAGATACTCACATTTAATCTACCGTTTTTATTTTATGAGAGTAATCAAAGTAGAAATCGTGTTCGAGAATCGAACGAGAACGAAACTAACACAAGTAATTTTCGGTGGTCTACGAATCGATCGTACAAGATCCTACAAATACAGTGGAGCAGTCAGAGAAATACTGAGAGAGAAAGAGAGAGAGTTTGTATCGCGTGACTATATTGAAAGTGGAAAATAAATCGACGCAAAGCGAAATAAATAAAAGCAAGCCCGAGGCTTGATGGCTCATGAATGAGAAACGTCGTGATGCGGCGAGATTGAAACCGGCAGATAAATTGGAATAAACTAGGAGACTCGTAATAACAGTCTTGGCGAATCTCTCCGGAATTAAATACAATCTCCGCTTAACTTGTTTAAAGGGAAGACAATGCGATTTTCAAAGACGCTTTAAATAACTTTTAGGTTTTCCAAAAGTTTAAAATATAATTTTTTAAAATAATATTCAAAATGTCTAGTATCACGAAATATAATATTTTTAAATAATATGTTGTATCTCCGTCTTCTTTTAAAATTTGCAATAAACGCTAATTAAGTCAAAGAAGCTTCGAGAAAAGTTCTTTCCAAGAAACAAATATCAAAATACAATTTCTTTAACTATAAACTGCTATTAGAGCCGCCGTTTATCCAATTCTGAACCAACCCATACCGCACGGTATTTCTAGGCAATTTCATCCTCGCAGATCAGACATTCCTTCAAATCTCGATCAAACTCACTCACCTGAACCATGGTAACGAAATACACGTCGCTCCTGGCCAACATCTCCTCGATGAACTTGATCAATTCCTCCCTATACTCCTTCTTGCTCTTCAACCACGAGGCATGGAAGTGAAGGCCAAGCGGTGCCCTGTTGCTGTTGAAGTGCCTGTTAAAGTTGTGTCTGAGGAGCCTGGCGAATTGTTCTCCAGTCTGAATGTTCGAGCAAGAGTCCACCATGTGACAACCAGGCAGGGACTCGTCGAAAGTGGGATCGTCTCTTCTGTCCAATTCGTTCATCACCATCTCCCAAACAGGATGCGATCTTGATGGACAGTTTCCACCGTTTCCATTGCATTTGTGTGGCATTCTGAAGTACAAGGTGTACGGCCAGATGGGTACACGACCCAACGAAGCCGTGATGGAGGCGTCGTAGACGAAGAATTGGTCAGCCATCATTTCGAATTGTTTGTTACCGCCCACGCGAAGATACGGAGCCCTCATTCCGATAATAGAACCGTCGGTGATGTTTGCGAAACGTTCTATGATGAGTCTAGCTCCAGCCATCTCTGCCAGCCAGTCGTCGTAGGTTCCCTGGGTCCAGTATTGTGGGTCGTCTTTGTGGGTCAAAGAGAACACCGCGATTTCGTGACCACGACGGTGAAGGTCTTGAACGGCGGAGTAATTTGTGTATTTGTGAGAGACGAAGAAAGTGCCTCTGATCTGGCATCCGTTAGGGTTTTGACGTTGGCCATTGAAGATCTCTTCGTACAAGTCGATGTTATCTACGTTCACGGCTCCGTTGAAAGTGATCGTGATCATTTGGGGTACCTGGGACGGCTCGATGTTTCCGGGGATCCTGGTTCCATCGGCGGAACAATAGCAGTCGGGGAGCACGCATTGCGTTGGATCGCAGTCTGGCGCGCGATTTGGATCGGTTTCCACAGCTGTGGGGGAAGATGTGGCGAAGATTAATAAACGATCATTGCGGAATTTTGAAGCTAACGCGAGTCTTAAGACTCTCGAGAGAGAACGTACGTCTCTGATGTTCAACTTTCATAGAAAAATTAAAACTACGCGTAGTATCGATACATTGTTGGTCAACGACGAGCGTATGTGATTTGTGCACACATCAATTTGCATAATTATCAACGTATAAAATTATGTGTAAAACAAGTATAACATTGTTCATTGTAGTGAACGTACTGCGTTAAAGTTCAACTATACCATCTTTTCTCGCGAGATCGTTAAAGCGATATTAAGAAAAGGGAAATTCGAATTTAAAGGATCGACGTTCAAAGTTTCCACTGTAACGTATCGACAGATTTTCCTCGCATCGACGCTGAAAGTCACCGATTGCTATACCTCGCTATCCGCACTTGTGACCAAAAGAAGCGCGGATTGCGATCGCGAATCGATTAAATCGACACTTACTGCACGCGTTCTCGTCGGATTCGTCCTTGCAGTCGGGTTTACCGTTGCAGAAGAGCTCCTTGTCCACGCACTCGCCGTTACCGCACGACAATTTCCCTTCGGGGCAGACTGGTTCGTCGGTCCTCAGGATGGGCAACACCTTACGCGGCTCTGCAAACGTAATCCTCGTTAACGGGCCGACTTGTCGGCTTATACGCGACAACCAATCGCTACTACGGGACCATTGGCGTTCACCATAGCTGTAACTTCTACTTTTACTTTTGCCCAATTTATGTACAAAAGATCGTGGCGCGCTCACCAGTGGCGCAGGAACCTGTGACACTACTTGGAGAAATATATTCCCGAAGAAATCGATTAACCCTCTATCGATGGAAATAATAGGTGTCGTAGTTAAAACTACTTACGGGATGGGATACTATAATATTAGAATAATCGATTTATTTTCTGCATGGAAAATCTTTGGTAGGGTTAAAGGTTGTTACTGTGCGGGATTAATTGTGACCCAAAGCTACGGTACCTCGCCAGCTTGGATATTAAGTATCGGACTAATTACATCTTGTACGTCCAGTTACGGTTTCCTGCCAGTGTAATCTGGTATCTATGTACATGTGGACTTTACGTACAGACGTGGACAGCTTTCTTAACACCCTCGTGATTGTCTTCGATCGTGAATGTAACGAAATTAACTTTGGAATACCATAGCGAGATTCCATGTTTCTTACTCGTTTCTGTTTGTTCGCGTTATTTATTCGTCGTTATTCTGGCTATTTGTAAAGGATATACAACGATGTGCTGTTATTCACGGCACGGGTTAAATCACGAAGGTATCAAGCAATTTATCAGAGGATTTGGTTTGGCCTTGCGTTAACAGTTCCTACGCCACTGCGTTCAACCGGCCTTTTCGTTAGCCTCTCTTCAATTCCTTTTCGTTCGAGGAATTTCCCTCTGATTTCTAGTCGTCTCGCGACTGGAAAAGCGTAGCAGAACCGACGTGATGGGCGTGACGAAGGAAACGAATTAGAAAATTTAATAAAAGAAAATCCTCGTGAATCGGTCTTGAAGATCTTCTAAAAAGAATCGCAGATTTCTCCGGCGAATTCTTTGCTCGAGAAACCTTCAAGATCGTTGGGAATACGACGGAACGAAAGACACGAAATGGCGACAGCCGGAGTGTTGGAGAGACGAAACATCGACGAGCTAACGTTGCCCATCACGAGAAGAGTTCACGTCGAGAGTATCGTTTGTATCGTTGGCTCGCAGCGATTCGCACGTAGCTAATTCCATGATTTATTACGAATAAAGACACCGACTTACGAAAGTATCCGAATATTTATAAAAACTTCTCCTGAATATATCATGTACACTATACGAAATATTCTGTATAATATACGTAATATGTTCATAAATATTTTCTATGCTAAATCTTCGAATACTTTCGCGAGTCGCTGTAAATAAAATGAGAAGAGATATGGATACACACACACACGCAGGCACTGTTGAGATAATAATGAGAGAGAATAGAGATACGTGGTGAAGAGATGGACTGTTGCGAAAGGCGAAAACAGGCAGCGGAAAAATAAAAAGTGAGACGGTGCCTCGACGTGCCACGCGTCGAGAGAACGAGCGCGAGAAAAGAGAATTGCAAGTGGACCAATACACGCGTAGATATGCACGTACAGGCGCGTGTATGAACAGGTACACGCATACGCATGGCGAGCAGAGAGAAAAAAAAAAATAGACGGAGAGCACACGAGACTGGTCCGATTTAATTTCATTCGCGGCACTGCGCTTTCAACTCGTAATGCAGTTTGCTGGAAACATAAAAGAAACAAGATAATGTTCGCGGTTGAATTATTAACTCTGTAATTCTTCTCTTTTACCTTCTACGCCTTTTTCGTTTCAGTTATTCTAATTAGAGGTAATATTTCTTTACCGAGCTTTTTAGTTCGCTTGAAATTACGAGTTTATTAAAAATCGGTCATTTTTTAATAGTTTCTGACGCAACAAGGATATATTGTTACGATCATTGACGCTCGAAAGGCAGAACACAGGAACGAGGTTGTACCGTATATTAAAATCAATCGGCTGTAAAGTAAATAGATCGATAATTCACGGTACGTACGACGAATACAAATTTTCAATATACATAAAGTTCTCGAATATTATAGAGCTGTCTGGTAGCGACAAACTTTCTAAATATTTTTACGGTACGGTTCCAATCCAGACAGATCCAAACATTGGAAACGAGAATTGTCTAAGAAAAAGCAAACGTCATAAACGTTTGTAGATTTTCTAGTAGATACAATCTACAAAATTCTCCTCGTAAATTAAGCTTAACACCGTTCAAAGTGAATCGATCTGTCAAATTCTGATCGCAAATAAAACTTAACGCCGTTTGAAGCGCGAACGATTCGATGATCGAACCAAGTGCCATTTGCATTTCCTTGAAAATGAGCAGTCGCCTGTTTCTTTTCTCGCGCGAAACCAAATCGGAGCAAGCGGGTCTCGCGTGAGACGCGCGCTTCGAAACGGAAGCGGAGGAATTCGACTCGATTGCGACGACAACGAGTGCGCGAAATAAAAAAAAAAGTGGCTGCAGCGCGAGAACGGAGGAAGATAGAGATCGGCAGCTGGAAAACGCTGCGTTCGCAACGGGGTAAGATGAGATTAATCCGGTGAGAGAGAGAAAGAGGGAAGGAGAGAATTAATATGATCGATCGCTCGAATACTTCGCACAGGTTTCGAGCGGTAAAAGCGAACGAGTCGACTAAATAACAAGGAGCCGTTCTAAGGAGGCCAGATCGTCGAAGCGAAACCGATCTGGATGTGGACAGACAGAGCAAGAGAGACAGAGACAGAATATAACGGGAGAAAGAAAGAGAAAAAGAGAAAGAGTGATATATGCGTATGTATAGCGAGACGGATAGACGAGAGACAGAAAGGGGGGAGGGGGAGATGGAGAGAGAAAATAGGAGCGAGATCAGCGATTGAGAACGTGCTACCTCGTACCTGGAGCGATCGCGAAGAGAAAGAATCGTGCGTCTGTCGATGTGTGAGTATGTAGTATGTATATATGGTGTCGATATGTACAGGTGCAACAGCGTGTGAGCGTGAATTCTATAAAGCTGAAAAGTCATTGCGTGCCGAGGATCGTTTTCGGGAGATCGATATACGCGACGTATCGAAGCACGGAATAACTCTATTTTCACGTTGAATCTAGAATTAATGGTCGACACGAACGGCGAATCTTTGAATAGTTTTCTTTCGGTATCTTTTACGCGATTGGATCCAGATATGCCAGATATTTTGGAAAATTTGATCGTCGAACGAGCGTAACGATCTTCCTTTTTGTTGGATCGTTTAATTTTGAAATTCGAACGATATCGATGGCACGGAATGTCTTAATGAATAAATTTAAACAGTTTAGAAAGCAACTAGATCAGAATCGGCGAGATGGATGAAGCTTGTTATATTCGCGGTGTTAGTGATGCGACGTGAATCGAGAAAATTGCGTGAATCGATGAGGAAGAGAGCATCGATGAGCTGGAAACTGGGTTAGATCGCGCTCGAGGCACGAGCTTCTCGTCTCCCGAGTTGCACTTTCGCTCAAAATCGAAACCAGTCTCTGGGCCGCGAATCGAAAGTGGCCGGACTGGAGATTACAACGTCTCGAAAGTGGTCTCGCATGTAATGGTCGTGTATTTTCACTGCGGCGAACGTATCGAACGTTCGCGCTTGTGCCGTTCGCGTAACTACGAGATACCGTGACGAGGTGGAAAAATTTCAGCAAACTTGCGAATGAATCGCTTTTGCGTGACTTTAGAAAGTATAGAAAACTCGATTTCATTGAGCGTTTAAGCTTCAGGTATTTCCGTTCCAACTTTATATGCACTTCGATATTGTATCATTAGAATTTCGTTTAGTTTGCGAAAGAATATTGGTTCTTGGTTAGTCCAGTCTTTTCTCATTTTAATCCGAGATTTACATACTTGTTTAAGAATCAACGAAACGTTGATATTAAAAGCAAAAAATTAATTCTTAATTCGTTGATAAAATTCGACAGCGCGAACTCGATGGTAAGAAAGTAAAATTTTCAAGAAATAGAACGATACGCAGAGAGTTGATGAAATGATGCGAAGTACGACGTTGATCGTTTGTCTTCGTTTCTGTTTCTTTTCTTTTCTTTTTATTCTTTCGGAGACGAGAAGGATCGTGGATGAATCTCAAACGTGGGCGAGAATAATCGTGCGTTAGTACTACCTTACGAATGGTGCGGGCTACGTTGCGAATCTACGAAGGAACCGGCCTTCTCCGTATCTTATGAAACATTTTTCATCGTCCTTAATAGAAGGAGGAAAGAAAAATCTTCTCAAAATGGTGTTCTTTCCAAGGGAAGTGCGTTTAACCGACCTATCCCTACTTTTCTGTTCCTCGATTATATAGAAAATTAATCGATGGGAAAAAGAAGCGTAAATTACAACCGTCGAACAAATTATAAACAAATTATAAACGCATTCCCAGAGGAACAGATACACCGGAGACGGAGACAGGTACTTCGGCTCAACCTGGTCGATACATCGACTTACTCTCGAGCTTGTCACAGTTGGTGACTTTGCCCTTCCAGTCGCAGGTCTGTTTGTCCAAGTCAAAGGCCAGTCCACTGGGACACGTGATTTGCTTCAGGCCGGATTTCGTGCACCTGTTCGTGTCGGACAGAAAGCAAATCGCTCAGTTAAACTTAGCAATCAAAAGGAATCGCTTACTCTCGAGTTGGTCACAGTTCTTCACGTTCGTTTTCCAGTCGCACGTTTGACGCTCGATGTCGAATGCCAGACCTGTTGGGCATCGTACGGTCGCCAATCTGGTCACTCCAATCTCGCTCGCTTTGTCGCATCTGCGATTCAAGTTTAACTCTTTCCAATTTAAAAAATATTTAAAACCCTGCTAAAAAATCCCTCGCTGTTATTCTTTCTATCGATGCTATTATTTTTGCCGAGTATTCGTCACATCGAATAGGAATATATTTCGTCACGTGTAACGAGCTGTAATCCTCTTACAGTTTATAGTATCTGATATACGATGTACAGTTGATCGTAAAATTATCTGGCTATGGTAGAAATCCAAATAGATTGTACTGAACATTACGAAACAGTAAAAAAGAAAGTCTAAAATAAATCTATTTTTAACGAATGTCTGTCATCGATCGTGAATGAAATACAAAAGATTCAATGGGCTGCATACTGACTGACGCCCACTGTACCCGCTACGCGTAGAATCTAGTGCTATTTTGTCAATAAACGAACCCACGCAAAAATCGATAAAAACGGAAATAAAAACGGAAGATTCACGAGGCTCGCGATGGAATTCTCACTAGAACCAAGCGAATAAATCTTTCCTAAAGAATTCTATAAAAAAAAGGTAGTAATATAATCCGTATAAAAGGACGAGCGAACATAAAAGAATCAAAATAACGTTTTACGATTCGCAAAAACTCGTCGAATTCTTCCAGGATACGCGACGTTCCGCGACAGGATCTTGCGTTCTTGTTCTGAGAATATTTTTGCCCGCGCGTCCTTGACGATGAAATAGTTTATCCGTTCGAATGAGTCAGGATACACCGTCTGTCGTCATCGGCTGGAAGGCGAGTCCTGTATCTGGTATCAGGCTCGCCTTGAACCTTCCGACGCGGAATTCGATCGCGAAGGAACCCAAGACAGGAATTCGCCGTCCGATCCTCCACGATCGATCTTTCTCGTAAATATCGCTTCTACCGTTAACTTCACTGACCTTCGGCGTTACTTACGCGCTGCAGGATCGACATTACGAAGGATCGTGACGTATTCTTTTTATTCGAAATGTTTCTCTCCGATTTGAAAGACGACGATTTAAAAATAAGAATTAGGTACGACGATTTGATGGAAATTTACCTCACGACGTCACGGCAGTCTCCTTCGACGTTCAACCGGAAGTATTCGTCTCCTGGCCTATCCTGGCATAATTCCTCGGCATTTGCGTCAATTCCATCAGCTCCTTCCTCGTCTTGCGCTCTGACCTGCGTTCCTGGAAATTAAAAAACGCTGTTAAACGATCAAGAAATCCTTTAATGAATATGTATATATAGCTTTCGTTTAAAAGTAAAAGTGGGAATTTACACGTTCTTAGCAATCCTAGAAAGAAGAAAACTGAAATCCGTCGCTTTAACGGATTCGCTACTTCTGGTGTTTAAGTAGAATCGTAAAACTTGCTTTCGTCGTTTCTGATCTCGAATAAAAGCGATCTTCGAAAGCAAAGAGATACCACGCCTCGTTCTCCGGCTTTGACCACTAACAATTACGTACTTTCTATCATCGATTACATAAACGTTTCTCGATCCACGAGCACAATCTCTAACGTGACTTCGCAACATCGCTCCTTCCTTTCTTCGTCCCATTAAAGAATCTAACGATAAGTTAGGTTAGACACGATTAAGTGCAAGTTCCTAGTTTTCCTTCTTTTGTAAAAGCGTTGGCAAGTTAAAAAATACTTAATTTACTTCTCGCTCGTGTTTCCTCTTTCCTTCTTTTTCTCGTCGATCTTGATAGACGGAAACACGTAAACGGAACGTGAAAATAATCTCGTCTCTCGATCGGAAATATCCGAATCTTAATGGACACCGTCTAGGGAGCACGCACCTACTTTTTGTTATTTTCACGGACCTCCGTAATTAAATTGGAAGAATAAAAGAAGGAAACGTCACCGACAGAGCGGTTCGCGTGACATTTGAGTAAGAAGGGCATAGATCGGTATTGTGAGGATCGTATAAGGAAAATGTCGCGATCGTTGGAAGCCACGATCTCTAGAGATCGTAAACCGAATACGACGGGGTCGGTGAACCCCCGTAGAAGTAGAAAGTCTTGGAAATGTCAGGGCAACGAGACACGAGTGGGGAGAGAAGCGACAGTGGTTCTCTAAAGTAGGTTCTGGCTGTCTCTCCCTCTATCCCTCTTGCCATGATCGAGCATCCTTGTTCGAACAAGTCTCGAACGTGCCTTCTTCTTCATCCACGACCACGAATCGTGATCCGTAATCGTGATCAACGCCACTTCCGGACAACTTGTCTTTGTTAAAACTTTTGCATCGGTCGAAATGGTCTTACGAATCTCATCTTATCAACGAGACGATAAGAGAATTATTTCTTGAAGTGTACGAATTTTATTTTATCGTCGAGAAGTTTACTTTTCGAATAGTCGTCTCTTGGGAATAATATCGAAATTGTTTCGAATGTTTCAAGTTTGTTAGGATCGAAGAGTTTCGATTTTGTATTGAACAAAGATCTTTCGATCGTCAGTTTGGCATTAACCAGTAGAGGTGTCGCGATCGAATTGACGTAGCTGTACTGAAGGAGCCGTTTGACATGTCTTGTCGCGGCTTCGATCGTTGAAGTCACCAGAACGTTCATGGCGCCGAAGAACCTATCGATCTCGAGTCGTCTATTGTGAAACTATATTGTGAAACTATCGCGACGTTTTTCAATTAATTACGTTTAAATCTCTTTTAATAAATAGAACGTTTTAATCAATGGGGATACTTATAAAAATTAAACAATTTTCCGTCCATCGGGGAAAATTAGAAGAACGCGAAAGTCGTCTATCTTAAAATTACAATAGAAATTTTGCATTGAAATTGAAGCGTAGTACGGATTGTATATTATTGGGAAGAAACAAGGAACGATAACGTTAAACTACGAGGGATCCTCGAACGGAAAGTTCTCGTGGAAACTCGTTTCGTCCGAAGGAAATTCTGTAAACGTCGAAAGCAACTTTCACCTGTAACAGGCATTCGAAGAATCGGTGCCTAGAAGGCCAGGTGTTTCTCTTTGACGAGAAATCGTGTTTATCATCAAAGATTCTCCATCTTCCGATCAAACTTTCACCCTAAACACGACGTTTCCAACGTTACCGAATCTTCTGCTCTACCAAAACTCTTTAACGAACAAATCAATTATTTAAAATCCGACATCGTCCAATCTCAACTGCCATCAAACTTCTATGAACTCTTCGGAATTTAATCCTCCGACTCCTAACGCTTCCAACTTCCATCTAAATTCAAACTTTAAGATACTTTTTCGAATCTTAATCCAAAGCTTAAACGTTCTTTGAATCGAACTTTCTAAAAATATCGAGAAACCAATTTGTTGCGATGTTCGATACAGATGAATAGAACAGGGGCAAACGGAAATAAGGAAGACGTAGCAACAGTGTGTACTCACCGGCAAACAGAAAGAGAGATCCAAGAAGGAACAGGAACTTTGGCGACATCGTGGCCGCTGCCGCCGTCGTCGTCGTCGCCGTCATCGTCGTTGTCAGGACAAAGAGCGTCTGGACAAGCCGCGCCCTCTCGCCCCTCTATATGTGCACCACCACTCCTTCCTCTTCGTCGAAGGACTTTCACCATCCGGATGGTGCTGCCACCTTCCCTACGTCGTAAAATAGACGGAGAACAAGGGGTTCCATTCCTTCCGTCTGTTCGTGGAGAACGAGAGGGGACCGTGGCATTCCACTTCGTCTCGATCTTCCTTGTCTCGCGTCATCCAATCAGAGACTACTACTTGCGGTTTTTCACGAGAGATCGAGAGGAAGAAGATGAGCGATCGTTTTCGAGTTTGTTCGACGCGATTGGTTATTCTCGTGGCCCGAATTTGCCTGGTTTGGTCTACTTTCATCGATATTTAGTTTTCTAACCATTGTTTCCACCTTTCTTTAAATGGAGAGTTCTTTGGAGAGGAGAGGCATGTACATGGGGCCATTCGTGTCTTGAATTTCTATTACTTTGGAAAAAGAAAGATCGGCAATAATGGTAAAATCTTCAGTCTTTCGAGGAGAATGCAATTCGCAATGATCGTTAAAATTTATGCGTTTGCGGGAAATATACCGAGTAACGCGTATAACACGTTAAAATAATTTATGGAACTTACGAATAACTTATGAAAAATTTGCAAGTGAAATATCCTACTCTCGTTTAAAATACGGTATTCGTTATAATATTTAGTGAAAGAAATCTCTATTCTGTTCCTTTAATTCTTGTGTCCAAAATCATACGAATTTAATTACTAATTACGATCGAATTGCTAATTTTTGAACAGGTGGATCAAATTTAATAGCGAAAATATAGTTCGTTTGGGTCTACAGTGTATTCAAGGTCCGCGTTACAAGGTCCGTGTAGAAGTGAAAACGCGCTTTACGCATCGTTTTACGGCCTCCACGAAAATATCGGCTGACAGCGGCAGCTCTAAAAGGGGGCGACGAAAAATGGCTCGCGCTCGTAAAACTCACGATGAAAGTATCGTTCACGTGGCCGAGTAACTTTCCACGAAAAATGCCCTGTATGTCATGTTCGTCGACACGACACAAACCTTGAACCTCTCGGCTTTTAGCGTAAAATTCGGCAAGATACGTCCCAACGAATTTTCTACCGTATTTTCGACAAAATAACGAAAAAGAATTCGTCGTTCCTCTTAATTCCTCTAAAACCAAAACGAAGCTTTTAGAAAATCACGAAACATCGTACCACGGAAGCACCTATGAAAAACTCGAATTACTTTTAAAACACGCCATTATGGAATCGCCGATTCTCCCGCAACGTAAGCCACGTATACGTCTCCTTCATAAGGCAGAATTTTGGAGGGATTCTTTGTTTCTCCGCTTCTACTTCATTTGCTTCTACCGGTATCTCGCACGGCTGCCTGAATTATTTACGCGGTCTTAACGTTGCTTGCCAAATAATTCTCGTCTCTCGTCCTTCCACCCCTTTGCCCAACTACCACCGGCTGCTGCATTCTCTCCCTATCGTTGTTAGCGTTGCACGTTTGCGCAACACGTTTATTTATTCCTGAGCTAAGCGAGGATACACCGGGTGGTCAATAAATTTGCAGTTTGCGCGGTAAAAGGTTATCGACGTCCCCGGCGAAATAACTTCGCCGGACGCGCTATTGCGTTAGAGGCACGCTGCATACCGCAAACCACGGCACAATCGCATTGATACCACTTTATCGATAAAAATTATTTTCATGTACGCCGTTTGTCCGTCAGTCGCTCGTACGCGATATAATTCTATATAATGCAACGGATTGATTTGAAATATCGTTGTCATATCTTAGACAGCAATAATTGCAAAGTATCTTTTATCTTGTATCCGCTGTTTATTCATCTAGTGCCTACTGTTTATTTTGTCTAAACGTGGTCGTTTGAAACGTTGCAATTTTGTCGAAAGCAGGTAAATGTAATTAGCGATATAATTATAATATCGGACAGTTGGATAAGTTCGATCGGCACGAAGCTTATTGAAATTAAAACGAGAGGTATATAGAAAGATATATCTGTATATAATGCAAGAAAAAGCTGCAGACTTATATTTAGATGTTCTACTAAAATATTATTCAAATCCACAAAAGTATACCATTATCTGGAAAATTTCTATAAAAAGATCTGTGACACTGCTATATAAGATTATCAATTGGTCGATTCGAATATTCTAGTAATTCTAACGTTAATTATCACTTTTTGCACAAAGGTAGAAGGTGTCCTAATATGTTCGTGAACGAGAATGTACGAGATTCCGCGAAATCGGTGGTAGGGAAACGCGCGAGATAAATTCGTGACGTGGTCTGTTCTCAATAACCAATATCTACGAAACAAAGGATTTGCGTAGACCAAACGTCCTTCTTGACATCGAGATCGATCGAGACCTGTGTTCTCATCGGGTATCCCTTGCTTCGCCTTTATCTCGACACGTTTCTTCGACGAACGTCGAATAACGTAGCCGAAGAGGATTTAGAGAAGTATTTGTTCGCCAGTCGGGATCAATAAATCCCGAGATAACGCGAACTTGTTGCAGATAACGTTAATAACGCGTACGATCGTGTGTTTCAGTCATTCGTTAGGACACGTCGAATAAATCCTAAATTCCTAGCTTCGCTTTGAAATATATCGAACAATCGAAGCCACGAATTCCAAAGCGGTTCAAATTCACCGATAAATGGTTCGAGAAAGTTAGTTTCTTTTGTCTATCTTTTTTAATGCGTTATTTATCTTGTTAATTTTTTCCGCGAATATTCTTTGTACGTACGTACATACGTACGTCTTCGCTGTGGTTATATTTTCAACATTGTTAGATAACGACGTTTTTTTTGTAAAAAGGTTCGTAAAGCTGTAAACTCGTGCCGTTTCGGGTATCATTGAGTAATTTATTCTATTTTTTTAGTCAGTTCGTGTGGAGAATGATATCTAATAAGAGGAATATTTGTTAAATTTAATTACTTTCTCGAGACAGTCGCGACTTACGACGTCTTGGACTTGGTGGCTTCGATTGGTCGATGAAGGAAAAGAGCGAAGAAATTGAGAAATCGAGATTACTTAGGATAACGTCGATATATCTCGATGTGCAAAAAGAAAAACAATGAGATTCGAATCAGAGGAACGGTGTTTCGCATTAAGAATGTTGTAAGTCGTTTCTAATTGCAATTAACAAATCTTGGCTCACTGGTGAACTTCTAAATAGGCCAAAAGAACGCAGTGGCGTCGTTAGAAATAACGTACGTATGGAAAGAATCTTGATGTAGACACGATGATGACGATGAATTGCACAAAAATCCTCCATTACCGTCAGATTTCTTCTTTGTACGCTTTTTTCGTGCTCTTTTTTTGCGACTCTGGACCAATCGAAGATTACACACCGTGGCTTTTCGTTAGAACGAAATTTCTGGGGTCGTTCGAATGGAAAGGAGGATCGATGAAGCAACCGAGTGGTCGCGGAGGAAGAGATATTCAGCTACGGTCCGGAAAGTTGCGTCCGTAATACGCGAAACGTTTCGCAGACTGGCATGTATCACGAATGTTAATGATGAAACATGATATGCTAATCGATGAGAAACATCATCGTCGGATCCCAGGCAACTGAGCGAAAACGGAGCCAGTGCTGTTGGTGGAAGAGATAGAGCTAGGTTGTAAATTCAAGCGTTGAACGACGATATGGATCGATCTAACTTTAAACCAGAGCCACGTGCGTTTTAGATGTAGAAATACTTCGAATTTCAGGCTGCAAAAAATACGTAATTTTTTCACTCCACTTTATGTTTCCATCGAATATTCGCACGAGGTTAGATCGCTTGAATTCAAGCAACCTAAATAATCCGAACGAGGCTTAAAATTGAAAGTATAAATCGAAGAACACGAGAAAATTCATCTGGAACGTATACAACATTTTATTAAGGACCTTTCGATATATCACCAATGGAATTTCATATTAATGAAAGTGGTACGCGAATGCAATAAACTCAGGCGAAGGAAGAGAGAGAGAGAGAGAGAGATTTACATCATCTTCGGCTATAAGATGAAATGTATTAATCTTCGACTTCGTTTTTCTTGATAAACGAGCGGAACGTTCGAGTAGCTCGTAATGCACGCGTTCACGTGAACACGTGTCTCGTGATTAACGACTAGGAAGTAGCTATTTCCTTATTTAATCTGGCAACGGCCCTGAAGTTTCGTGGGATCGATAGAAACGCGACCGATAGAAATCAGCTATGTGAAACCGTGAATCACCAGGTCTTTGTGCTCCTGCGAACTTAATCACGCAAGCGTCTTTTATTTTATCCTTTCTTGGCGTTAGTTTCGTTTCGATCATCGGTTTCATAATTTTTATTCTAAAGACATTCTTCCAATAAGCGGATGCATGTCGTTTTACAAAAACTACGAAATTTCTTAATAACAAAATGTCAGACTTTCGGTGATTAAAAATTTCTCGGGTATTGCGTATCTAATTTTTAAGTCGTGAACAATTTTTATACTAAAAGAAAAGCCTTCTAAATACGTAACAAACGTACAGCCGAAGAGATTCGTACAAATAGCAATCTTTTCCCAGTTATTAAGAAATGTCCGGCTGTCAGAAATAATTTCTCAAACTATTAAAAAAGATTCTTAATCGTCCCTTACCAGATTTTTTTACTATGAAAAAAATCTCCTAATTACGTAATAAATTCGCAACCGCTAAAGATATCTTCGCTCGAATCTAACAGCTTAAACTAGCAACCAGAAGATAAATGGTTTTTCGTTTCTACTTCGTTTCACGGCAAGTTACAAATTATTACAAATTGCAAGGCTTACGGTAGATAGCGATTGCTGTTCCCCAACAACGTTATCCACGGCATTTCTAAACGCGTTCTAAGCTCCGAGTCCTTGACGAGATGCACACGCTGGGATGCCAACGGGGGCACACGTTCACCCGTACAATGAATACAGGGAGTCTGGGAAAACCAGTTTTCGTAGTTCACGATCCTATGCACGCCGTCTCTTTATTTTCTTCTCCTTTTTATCCTCCTGTCTTTTTTCTTTTCCTATTTTCTCCAGTCTTTTCCC